GGATTTTTTATGTAACTTTTAAAAAATTTCAGTCATATCTCTACGATGTCAGCAGTCTATAGTGACGTCTAGCACTAGAGCATCATGCTGCAGACCATGTAGCATGAGGTCCCACCCAGACACATTATCCTGACACTATATCGACCAAAGAACTAAACTTTTAATACTGACTGATGATACCATTTTTATAAGTTTTTGGTATGACTCGGCCTGGGATCGATCCCACGACTTCCTGCATCCACTAAGCCATCGGAGCGGTCCGCAACAAAAGTAACATATCAAAATGATTAGACACATCTTCAATTCGTCTACTGCGCGACGCACCAATAAACGGTCATTGATTTTTTTATTATACTTGCGTTTATACTTATGTATTTTGTATGAAAATGTCTGTCTTATATAAGTATATACCATTTATTTATTGTTAAGAAAAAATGTTAACAGATTTTAGGGATATTAAATCCCATCTCATTCTATACTGTTTCGAAAAAGGATACGTTAATGTTACTAGCGGCACTAGCTGTTTAAGTCACGCTATTCCATTGCTCCATAAATGAAGTCAACTGCACGCGCCACGCAGCACGCGCAGCTTTTATAAGGTGAAAATGAGCAGGTGTTTTCACAATTACTTGCGGTGTATGACAAATTATTCTCCGCTAAGACCTTATCTTACCATATAAAACTGATGTACGTGCCGCTGATTATGGAAATCATAGTTCTTTTTGACAACCGCAAAGAGTATAATTATCCGCCATTGTTTCAAATAGCTTTGAAGACAGGCGGATCAAAAGAAAGATAAATCCAATTTTGTGCTACGGACTCGATGCGTGGATTAGGGTTGTTAAAATGAACAGTTGTAGGTCCATGTGGTACAGCTCCTCAAACGGCGGGGTCTACCAATTCAAACGCGAATTAACTTTTTCCCACGGTCAAAATTTACAACCCTTCAATCAACAAAGAAGGGACGAAAGTTTTAAAAGCAAAGATGCCGGACAAATGTTCTTAATTCTGATTTCTTTGAAACTTGTCGTGTAAATGCGGAAAATCCATCAGTCATACTTTTAGATTTTAGAATACCAAATTAATTTATAAATTTAAACATTGACATCACGATAAGAATGTTCGAGTTAGTTCTTTTTCTTCAGAAACCGTGAGATAAAATTTTTATTTCTTCACTGAATATCGCTTTATTATTTTCACAGCGTAATAATTATTTCAATAATAAATTAATCATTGATTACAAAATTAACTTTGGGAGATTAGTAAAAGTATCTAAGCTCCTCTTTAAGTAATATAAACTCCTTATTTTCTTGATTATTATGATGAATGTATTGGAAGAAATTCGGTTTCGGCAGGCAAGGGGCGAAGTTGCTTCCCCAGAGCCGATTTATGAAGCTTGGGGGCCCTAGGCACATACTCTAGCCTTAAAAGTAACCAGAATATAGAGTATTGCATTGCATTTCCATGTGCATGTGAGTCATTTTGTTAAATTTATTAATATAGTACTAAACCGCCAACACAACTGAAGCCGAAATTATTTTGTTTTTGGGCCGCCAAGGGGCCCCCTGCCTATTTTGCCTATGCCTTAAGACGGCACTGGTGACCCCCCATTAATTAGCGGGAAACAACAGGAACGTTTCCTTGAGTAAGTGTTTGTTTTACACTTAGATGGTTAAACGTATGACAATGTATAAGCTTGCATGGGCTTCGCACCATGGACGTGGCGGCGGGGTGGTTCCAAGTTTCCTGGGGCAAAGTTCTTTAGCGGCACGCCTTGTTTGCCACAAAGAACAGCTTTTATATTAGTTGCCAACCTCCCCATATAATTTCGTCAAGAAGTGTCCCTGTTACACTGATGTGAATAGAAATGCTATGAAACTTTCAGCTAAATTAAATTGCACTATATGGTGTCCCTCTTCGTCTAGCGCCCATGGGCAATTTCTCCCCGTTGCGCTGCCACTGCTTCATGTGTCCCCATAATGGGGTTCTATCCAATAAACCCCTTGCCTGAATATTTATAAATAGTTCCGTCATCCTGGATTTATTAAATATCAATGTAGTATTTCTGAAGCAAAATATTGACCCATTATATATATATATATATATATATATATATATATATATATATATATATATATATATATATATATATATATATATATATATATATATATATATATATATATATATCGTGTAAATAAGTAGCATTTCATGGATATCTAGATTGGAACCCTTCCATTTTGTTCGTTTATTCTTTGTTCCATCGACGCCTGATCCACAAAACATGTGCGCAGTAATTAGGACTAGATTCGTAATCGTTTTGGATGGAAATATTGGATACTATAATCATGTTTAAACTGTTAAACTATCGCACTAAACATTGGCTTTTTTTTTTTTTTTACTAAACGACTCCAGAGTTGTCACGCGTGTCCAGTGTCATAATCTGCTATAACTCAATTTTTTAAAATGGAAATTTGATCTGGCTATTCAACATGGATCATTTTATATTTCATAGTTTGGCTTAAATTTCATACCGACGTACAAACATTTGAACAGACTTGATTCAAATACATATTTTAAATTGTCATAACGCGTCCCTCCATTTTTATTTAAAGAAATTGATAATGCTATTAAACATGACCCGAACATACCTCTGTTGACCTGTATTAAACGAAATGTATTTGGCAAAACAAAATGTTATAACCTTGATTATCAATACTATACGACAGGCCACCCACGAAGACACTAAACGGTGTCAACTACAGACGGAACCAATTGAATAATGTTAGGTTCGGAGACTATTATACAATTTTAGTTACAGTCAGCCTTATAACATATAGACCGACTTCGTGCATCAAGGAGACGGCAATCACGTCTTACTGTCTAGTGACACGCAATGAGGACTCGTAAATGTATGCATCTATATTAAGTCAAAGCAGCAACTATTTACACCTGAGCTTCACAATGAAATTATTTTTTTGTGACTGACAAAAAAAAAAACAGGCAAAAAAACCCCATAAAATTAAAAATCAAATCTTTAGTAGTGTCAATAAATCAGATATTTAATAGCATTGTGACTGTACTCAGTTTTATTATCTCTAGTTATCTTTTTCAAAACGCAATTCCTTTGTTACTTCTCGGTTTGTAAAACATTTCTTTATCATTCTCTAAGCATCAAGGTTGAAAATGCAGTAGACATCTATATTTTAATTTAACTGAGTCCTGCTTTATTCGGAGAAAATTTTTTTAAATTTTACTCATATTTAAGGAATTGTATTGTAATTCGTAACGATTCACAAGTACGCATTGGAAAAAGGCGTGTTATCTTTATCGTTTTTTATGTTTACCGCTGACAATAACGCCAATTCTGTTGCTAAAAATCTTCATCATGTCAAAAATGAAGTGCTTTTGAAGATTATTTTGTTCAGTGTTTTGGTTTTATATCCTAAAACTTTTATTTTTTATTTCAACTGCCAGTAAACGATCTGATTCAAATTATTGGTATATGATGTTTCTTTGTATTTTGCAACGTGGACGCCTTTGAAGATATCTTAATGAATCAACTATATATAAAAAGATGAATGACCCGATATTATGACATCGATGCTAAATAAATTAACCTTTCATACACTTACCATCCGCCATCTTGAATCAAATTGACAGGTAGTATAGGTCTAAACATCTTGCGTGCAGAGAGAGAGAGAGAGAGAGAGAGAGAGAGAGAGAGAGAGAGAGAGAGAGAGAGAGAGAGAGAGAGAGAGAGAGAGAGAGAGAGATCAACGCTCCTACCTATCTGGTTGTACAGGATAAATATTTTATTTTTTCTTTTCAAATCACGAGCGTTAGTTTTAAATACAGATTAGAAATTATTCATGGTATTACCGTTGATATCAGATTTTTAGCTCCGGAACGGCTCCATGCTTTAATTATATGCAGTATTCACCAGATCATGCTTAACCTAGTGCCCCTATTACTGCACTGATCTCTCCCTCTAGACATTCTATTTAATTGCATAGATAGTCATCAAACTGGAATGCATAATTTAAATCAGATACACGCATACCTTTCGCAGGTAAACAAGATTCAGTAAGCAAATTTCCGAAGTCTGGAGAATAAGATGACGGTAAAAAGCCAGTTACTTCGATGTTATTTATTGTATTGAATTTGACTGGGGAGGTGGGATGCATTATAATTCCCTGACAATAGAGAAACTAGGACGAACCTGTATTGGATCAGTTATCAAAGTCGAGACAGACCCCAGAGAAATTGTCTGCAGGTCACTGGGGTCATGCCGAGGCAAGGACCTTACATAATGTGATTCAAATCATTCCAGATTTATGTCGAATTAATTTGCCCCTGTGGAGCGGGTTTAGATCATTACAGCTTACTGATTTACAGGGTGACCTCTTTGTACACGTACCAGACTAACAAGCCAGTAAATTTCCCACATCTCGCATCTCCTCCCTATTCCGTTTTTATGGATTGAATGGAAAATTTAAATATTTGAAACTTACTGGAAACTTGGTGGTGTTTGACTTTGATTCTGTAGTCAAGAAAGAAACATTTTGATTACATCGGAGCTGATGAAACTTTAAGACTGCCCCAACCAGATTTTCTGAATTAAAATGCCTTTTGTGTTTTTCCTGCCATTCCGTTTTGATGTTTAGATATTGTCCACAAAAATAAAGAATTTGGTAGAAATAATTTGCAATTGAGGCTTTTCTTTGCTTTAGATTGCACTTTATCGTTTCTAGTTGTTTGGCTGGTCCAAATGAAGGATCCTATGTACGTCTTCCCTTCACTTCTGGCATGAACCCGTTGGGCCAGATTGCTTGACTTTCCACTTTCTTAAATTCCAAGAATTTAATCGATTTAATCCCATTTGTTTGTGCGTGTTGATGGATGTTTTAATCTTTTTCTGTGGTCATATTTTGGGGTCTAAATTGCATTTTGTTGATAGCGAGGCAGTGGTTAGTACCATTTTTTAAAAATCTTTTGTATTACTCGACTGGGGATCGAACCCACGACCTCCCGCATCTGAGGCGGACGCTCTAACAACCGGAGCGGTACACAATAGATTAAAGCGCATACGGTGAATGTATATTGTGAAACCTTTGAGATATACAAAACATCTTTACAGTTTGGTTATTGCTGCAGATATCGATGAATCAGTTATATAAATTAAAGCGATATTTTCTGTATTTGTCCTTAGTGGTTTCGGTTGTCATACTTTGGCCATAAAAAACTACATATGCAAGTTACAAGTTGGACTTGAGCTATCTCTAGTCTTGCCAGAGACAAGTCGCCCTAAGCAGAATGACAAGGACCATAGCTGGAATCTAGAATGACCAATATATAGAGACTATATATTTGCTTGAAGCGAATAAATAACGAATGTTTAGTCGAATGGGTTCAAAACAGTATTTTTACAGACGAGATGAACTATCATAGTTATTCACTCATAGCATGCAATTTTTTTTAAATATTTGTTTGCACAATCGTCGGTATATATAAGATATAAGAAGCAGATTTCTTTCCGAGCCCTCCTTATGTGTCAGTTGTTTATATTTTGCGCTGTATTTGTGCATATTCACTCAGAAAAATATAAATAGTAATGTTTTCACAGAATTTTTTAATACAAGTGATAAGATGGAAATTTTCTCTAAATTGCACTAAAAGCATAAATTTTTCATTAAATTTTAGTGAAAGTAAATTTCTACTAAAATGTATTAAGAATATTATTATTTATTTTCGTATTACAACACTATGCTATTTTAATAAAATTGCTCCTTACAAGCAAGTGCAAATCTCCCCCTTTTGTATTACACATTTTATGCCACGTCAGCAAAATTTGCAGTACGGACGCACAGACCAAGTTCCTAAATTTACTTTTAAATGAATAAGCTACAAGAGTCGGAGTTTCTCTAAAACAAAATGCTGACTGGGAAAATTCTGACGTAAGCGAAAAACACTCTCTTCCTTTAAGAATAGACGGGAGCCTCCTTCTGTTTCAAGATGGACACACACAAGCCTAAATACAATTCCAAATTTATCCAGGAGCATATTAAAATCAGCATAAATAGGAGTTGCGTGGCTTGTGTAATCAATCCGTTCTCTCAAAAGAATCAGAAAGACTCCGTTCGTCTTTTCTTACAGGTACGAATCGTTTGTTTTTGTAAATTTCTTAAGAATAGGTACTTTTCTAAGGTTATAGATTTTTCTTGGTAAAGTTCACATCTTTGTAACATTTTTCTGAATTCTCTTTATTTTATATCATAATGTAATACAATGATTATTTGTTTTAAGAATTTATATTCATTTGTATTTACAGTTGTCGTTTTGGGGCTTAACGCCATTTTTCAGCACACGATAGGCTATACATGGCAGCCAGTAATAATGATGGAAGAAGTAACCGGAAAATCACCGGAAAGAACCACCGACCCACGAGAAGCTGCTGACAAGCTTTCTCACATATCCACATTCGCCGAATCTTAGATTCGAACCCACATAGAGGTGAGATGGCAGTGGTCCGTAACGGAGAGCGCTTTAGACCACTCGGCCACTCTTGGCCCCTGTATTTACAGTAATTTTTATTTCAAAAGAAAAATTCATTACCAACTTCATGTTTAGATTTATTTTGGAAATAAAGTATTCGTTAATTAATAAAGAATAATGTTTGGTAATCTATTTCAAATTAGTATTCTATTTTAGATTTAGTAAATTACATCTTTTCATAATGAATGTTGCATTGATCGCAACTATTAATTTTATACTCTTTGGCTATCATTAATTTTGTCGAGATTTAATTGTCTGTATTATAGATTTAATTATCTGTATGCTATTCAAAAATAAAGAAATTATGTAAATGTATGAAGTATAAATGTACGACGGAAAAGTATAATTTATATGTATTTCAAGTATTTTAAATATAAAGGCTTTGTAAGGTGTGTCTCTAAAATGTGGTATTATATAGCAATTATTTAAATAAAGTCCGTTCTCTCAAAAGAATCAGAAAGACTCATCTTTTGTTACAGCCGAGCAGCCGTATTTTTTCGCATTGCCAAGCCAACCAAAAGATTTGCAGCCGTATCTATACCCTTATGAGTGACACCTCCTTCGTAATAGAATATGAAATATTTCTTCTCTCCGTCTTTCCATTTGACCATGGATTAGAAAATTGTTAAGAGTTTATGAGAAAAAAAATCTTATAAAAGTAACATAATTCATCTTCTCACCTCAGAGTTAAATAGCAAGTTAAGAAAAATTACTTTCGTGCCTTGTTGGATTTGAACTACAGCCTTCTTTAAGGAAATGCGGCCACACTAATCTTTCGATTACGAAATAATCTAAGAACTTTTTCGATTTTCATGTTTTTAATCATCAAAGATTAAGATGTTCTCACTGTAGTGAAATATCAAGATTATTTCTTTCTGTAAATCCAGTAATTCAGGGTCTAGACTAAAACAAATTGAAGACTAAACAGTATAAAAGTTGAAAGAAGTATATCAAATTTGTTTGACACGACGCTGAATTATATGGACGTTATAGGGCTGGACAAAAATTGAGCTGTTTTGAACTCGCTTTCTCAGAAGCTTGGGTAAATCAAGTGGTTGGAAAGGAAAAGCAGTTTTTGGTCTTGCTTAACAATAAATTAAAGATATCTGAATTTAAAAATGGATTCGTCCAACTTCACCAAGAACATGATACTTACATATGTGCCTTCCTGATAACGTCTGGATACATACCTATTTTTAAAAAAAAATCTGGAAATATTTCGAATAGCGTTTATAGAGTATGGTGTAGACTTAATGAAAGACCTCTAAATGAAAGGGAATGTAATATGTGACGTTATAATCAATCAGGGTATGCGCTATTCGTCATACGTATCCATGCTCAGCTTTGTTAAATGTAAATGATTATTTGTTGAGCATATGAAGGCGGTATTGAGAAGATATATATATATATATATATATATACATACATATATATATATATATATATATATATATATATATATATATATATATATATATATATATATATATATATTAACCCGAGTATTTATCCAGTTTCTAATAGAATTAACCACAATATACAGTATTCACGACGCTTTACGAAAGCAAGGATTAGTTTCGTAAAATGGACCTAATGGACCTAATTTTTAACAATAGGGAATTCTCTGGATATGTTTTGATAAACATGTTGAGTAATTTGAGAAAGGAATATTTTTGTGATAGGTGTTTGGGTCGTGTTCTGAACTGCATGGCGTGAAGTAATGATATTACCAATGTGAGTAACTTTGCCAGAAGCTTTTCTTGGGTCCGCGGTTTTTATCCGGGGTTTTCTGGTTCTTCGTACACTAAAGATACTTACCATCATGTATAGTCTATCTTGCGCTGAGAACTTGTGTTAAACCCAAAATGACAACCACTAAATATTCGACTCGAACAAAGCTTCTAAAAAGTCATACAAATGTGAAACAAAGACAAAATCAATGCAATTTTGAAATTAGAATTTCGAGATGTGTGGACATTGGGTGACTAGATATGATTTGTTTAGTATTTATTCGTTTCAGAATATTTCTTATTGTCTTGAGGTCGTTGGAAATAGGGAAAACAACTAGTTATCATGCACGTGTGGGATTCGTTTCGTAGAAGACCCTTTACGTGTAAACACTTATTGAATACAATTATCATTTTATTTCACGTTTTAGTTTTCAATTCTAGTAACATTCTTCGCTAGACAGCCAATGTTTAGGGAAAAAAATCAAAGATTAATTATTATTGAGTTTCTTTGGGACTTTATCAGAGTCAAAGAAAAGCAGCATGACCCAAATTAATTTGATGATACCTTATCATAAATGAAAAGAAAAATCGCAATGCATTCATCCATTTTGTATTTCCACGTAATAGCCTCAAAAACAGGAACATTCTCAAGTCTGCTGGGTTAAAGAGCTTAGCTAAACAATGGCATTGGTACTTTTGTTTTACTTCAACAAAATGCTTAGAATCGTCAAGGTATTAACCAAGTCGAGAAAGCTTCTGAATTTGTTAATGGCGACTTTGACCTTTACACACTTAGACGAGGTTTTTGCATTAGTTTGGGAAGAAAAGTGTACGCATTCAAACGAAAATTGTCGCACAGGAGACGTCATAGTGAAAGTCTAAGTAATACAACCCACTTACATTTATATACATATTTACCTATCTTCGACTATAAAATAAAACAAGGAAGGTCTAATCGTAATATAATAATAGTAATGTCATTAAAATTGTTTTCAATAAGAGGGTGACTAGCTCGAGGCAGCTGGCAGAATTAAAAGTAGATAGGGCTGAGTTCGTTTACCCTTGAGTGAGAGGAGCAAACATTCACTGATGAAACCTGATCTTAAATTCATTGAACTATCGTTGTTAATAATATAAGATTAATAGCCAAATAGCTATATATAATATGTTCTTAAAAAGTCACATTCGATCTCCAGCCATTTAGATCAGGAATTCACTAATAACGCGACAAAATTCTGCATGATCATTGGGATAAAGCTAGCACTGATTGGGCAAAAGAAATAAAACATGACAAGTCTCACAAAATTAGGCACCAGACTGCTTCTTTATCTTTGTAAACATCTAAAGAATGTTAACCAAATTTGCCCAGTGCATTAACATTTATTTATTAGCGTCAAATTGCTTCAGTTGATCATTGGCTCACCCTATCTGATTAAAGCATATAATACTACAAAGTTACTGGCACACACACACACACACACACATTGAGATTTTTCAAGGAAACGTGAATGACACCTATAACCATTCATTTGTGAAGCATCTGAATTTTGTGTAAATATTTCATATTTACAAACTGTCCATAAAAATGTCTGCATGTATTCCACCTGATAAAGTGTCCTGTACAATTAGCCCGTTAAGGTATCTGCATGTATTACACCTAATAACGTGTCCAGTACACTTAGCCGGTAAAAAGATTCAGTATGTATTCCACCGAATAAACCATCCAGTACGAATTGTATGTAAAAGTGTCCGTATGTATTCTACCTAATATAATGTCCAGCATGAATGGTG